AAGATTAGTGTAGAAGTAAAAGCTTTTTTCAAAGTTTCAAATGAAACTTTTGCTTCTTTATTCTACTCAAGCTTATCTTTACAAGTTGAGCATGTAAGTGATACTACAACTTGAGAAAATTTCTTGATGAAGATCCAATAGTAATTGGCAAATTTCAAAAAGCATTGTACATCTCTTACTGTTTTTGAAATCTTCCGATCCATGATTATATGAATTTTTTTAGGATCCATCATTATACCATTGTTTGAAATATAATATACAAAATATATTTACATTATATTCAAAATGTCAATACCTTGTTCAAAATGTAGTCTTTTATTCATATCCTTCTTTAATGTGGACGAAATTATATATTCCTTGTAGATCTATTTTTATATAGATCTTAGTTTGATTTAATTAATCAAGAAGTTAAAATATCAAAGATAAAGGATATCTATTTTTGATGGTAATTTTATTGAATCCTCAATAATCCACATACATTTGCAATGATATATCTTTTTTCTTCACAACTAAGATAAGAGCTCCTATAGGAGATTTTGAATAGCATATGAAATTCTTGGCCAAGTTCTCATTAATGTACTTTTTGAATTCAACCAACTCATTTTTGTGATAAATTATAGATTGGACTAAATTGCAGCTGAGTTCTTTCTTTAAGATCGATTTAATAATCATATGGACAATGCTTTTAGAAAAAATCTAGATTCTTCTTTTCAAAAATATCTTAAAAATCTTGATATTGACTTAGAATTTCACTTAAAATCTTTGTATCATTTAAAATGGATGTGGTGCAAATAACAAAAGACGATCCTTATTTTACAGTATGCAAAAAAAGCTTTTGCCCTTACAAATATAGGTTAGGCTACACTAGACTCATGGCTTTCTATTCAATTAGAAAAACTCTTAATGATGTTTGAAGAAAATTCAAGTTTATAAGAAATCCAATCTATCATAGGATTATATTTTTCTAACTACAATAAATCTAAAATAATTGGATTAGAGGGAGATCTAATTATATTAAAATTTATACAACTATTACGACCATTTATTACTACATCTATAGGAAGTATTTTATGAGTAACATCTCCAAAAGATAATGGATGACCACCTATGACTTCTATGTGTATGGATTTAGTTTTTTGTACTAACTATATATTATGACTTTTAACAAATCCTTCATCTAAAAAACAAGTTGAGGCTCTTGAATCTATTAAGATAGAGGCTTTGTAATTATTAGATCCTAAATGCTTATCTAAAGTAAAATAATGAGAGGGTTTTGAGGAGAGAATAGAACCTTCATTAGGAATTGTACAAGATTCTACTTGCATGGCCTCTATTAGAGTTGGACAAATTTATTTTTCAACATGTTTTTATCTTTGACAGTAAAACTCGTTATTTTATAATTACGTCATTTTTTTGGTCAATATTGAGCATTATTCTTAGCTTCTCCATAATATAAATATAGTCCTTCTTGATGAAAATGAGTCTTTTCTTATTCAATAAAAAGTTTAAAATATACTGCATCAATTTACATGTCTTCTATTTTCAAATGTTTAGATTGAAAAGTTGTTGGTATCATCATTGAATTATAATAATGTTGAGATTTTCTTATTCGATTCTCAAATCGAAATTCAAAAAACTGATTATCAAATTTCATAGTAAAGTCAATTGCTTGACTCAATGTCTAAAGATCAGATAAATTGAGCATCAATTTCTTTACTTCATATTGTAATCTGTAGAGAAATTGATTGATGAGTGTTGCATCATTTCACTTAATATCTGTCACTAATTATTAAAATTGTGAAGCATGTAATGTCACTGATCAATTGCCTTATTGCAAGATACAAATCTTATTAGTTGCAACACACATTGCATCATGTTTTTCATATATAGATTGAAACTTCGCTAAGAATGCTTCCAAATTATTCAATATTGAATCACATCATTCTAGAAATGATAAAAAATATGATAAAGCAGAACCTCAAAGTAATGTTCCAATAAACTTGACTTATGATCCTTGAGTTGGATAACTTTGAGGTTGTAGTTCAATCACTAGTTATATCTGATTGATGAATCATTGATACATAGGTCTTGTGCCATCCAACTTCTCAAACAATCCAATTTTTAGTTCATTGAAACTTAAAAAATGTTCCATTGTAGGAGTAGTAGTATGGCTTGGTGTAGATATTGAAGTAACTCCAATCATCTCTATATCTTCATTGCTTGATAATCTTGTTGCTCCTTGTGGTGGTAGACTGAGTTGATGTATTATAAGCATTAACTCTGTCATTTGTTCTTGCATTTGAGCCATTGTACTCTTCATTTCAATAAATTTTGCAATGCTAACATAATAAAAAGAAAGGTGTCTATTCTCACAAAATACAATACTCAAGAATCAAGAAGAAAAAAAATCTATAAACAATATCAGTTTAAAAGAGGATAATCTGCAACTTCTAATATACTTATGTCTTATCAAAAGAAAGGGGTAATCTACTCTTAATTAGGAAAGGACAAAATTCTAATATTATATGTGTACTCTTATCAATCTGTCAAGGACACAAACTGGAAGAAGATACATAAACTTGTGGAATCTAAGTCAAAAGGAAAGTGACAAAATAGAAGAAAGTATGTATATTCAAGGAAGAATTGGAATGGCTATTGCCAAAGAATAAAAAACATAAGACTCTTGAAACTAGACTAAAAACAAGAAAGGAATTGATAAGAGTAAGGAAGGCCTCATTCTTGCTTCTATATATACTACTTAATTAAGAACTATATAGCAACATGCTATCGGACCTCTAATACACGTCCAACTTGTAGGACACATGTTTAATTTGCAAGACAAGTTTCCTAAGTGTGTGCTATATGTCCAACTTGTACTATAAGTGATCAACATGTCAAGACATGGCCTTCTTGTTGGCTAAGTTTTCAACCTATCAATCACCTATAGCCATGTATGAATACAAAGCAAAGTCTATAAAGCTTCTAGGAAACTTTCTATAAGATATTATCATATTTATCTACTTTGACTTACTTCTACTTATTCTTATTATCTAGATAATTATCAAGATAAATATGTATGTCCGTGACATTTTATGTTTGTACATTTGATATTCAAAAAATAATTCAATTACAATTTAGACTAATTTAGAACTTGTTATAGAATTTTTTTGTTGATTTAAGATTTGCTTATTTTATTTATGGAGAAATATTATATATATATCTATATATATATATATATATATATATATATATATATATTGAAGAACTTTATCACACATCCAAAATCTTTTATATATATATTAATTTTCTTTATGAAGATTAATGTGTAGTTTATTAAAATTTCAACAAATTGACTATTGAAAATGAATGTCCATTGCCTTTGATATTTGGACTCTTTAATTAACTCATTGAAATCAAGAGTTTTAGTAAGATATATGTCTAAGGATCCTATAATTTGGTATATATAACAAATAAATAAATAACTACATAAATTCTAAACTAAATATAATCATTTTAAATATAATAATATGCCTTTTAAAACTTATAAATGCTTTAGTAGCTTTTTAACATATAATAAATAATTAGTTATGCAAATTTTTAGAAAAAAATAATTTGATTAATTTAAAGATATTATTGTAGAAAAAAATGAATGACTAAAATTTCTTCATGAATAAAATAAGCAAATCTTAAATTATCCTAAAATATATAGTCTCTAAAATAATTTAAACTTCTTTGAAGTTGAAATATATATGATTATTGTACTTTAGATTAAATGATATATTATAGTATGTAAATATTTATTTTTTTATATATTTTCTTTGATTGTATTGATGCACATGCTATTTTTAAAAATAAAAATATTAAAAATAAAAATATTAAAAATAAAAATATTTATATGAAAAGCACAAGTTGAGAGTTAATTAAGTTTGTTACTAAAAATTTAAATAATCATTGCTTTAAACTACTTTATAAGTAGAAAGACAGAAAACAAAACAAAACAAAACAAAAATGTGTTAAATGAATGATTGTCTTAATGATTGAAACCATTCATCATCTGGTTTAGTTACTAAAAGGATGATGAGATATTCATGAAAGTTTGAGTTTTGATGGAGATGTAAGTTTGAGAACAATAAACCTTGGAGGTCATATACGGCAGTGCAAGACGGAAGAAGTGTGAGGCCTGTAAAAAACTTACGCCGAGAACATAGGGAAACGGGGTAGTCCAGGATGATAAGAGGCTGAAACGCATCATTGCGAGGAAGGAATGGAAGGACGAGGAGAAGCGCGGTGGTGGGGGTGGGGGTGGGGGGAGGAATGGAGTGAGAAGACTGGCCAGTGTCCCCATCGCAATGACCAACTCCGCAAAAGGCAAGACCGAGACGGGATGACACCTGTAGCGAGGGGAGGCGAATGGAATATTACCGGGTACTGACTGGCTGGCAGCCTGGCTGCGGAGGGGTGGGCCCCACACCAGATGGGGACGGGGGGACCGAGGGGACGGAGGGGGATGGTTTGATGCCCTTCGAGCACGTTCCTTTCACAGAGGACTGGGGCCAGTTGGACTGGTCAGGGCATCCCTGCCTCGGGCATCCCACTCCTTGAGGTAGCAACATTATTCCCGATCCTGCTGCACCGGGCAGCGGCGATGGGCGGTGAAGAAGGTTGGTGCGACAGAGGGCAGGGCCGGGCAGGGCATTGCATGAGGCCGGGGGTGTGGGGTTTCCTTCCTTTCGTCGGAAGGTGAGAGAAATAGAACGAGGCAGCGATCGAGCGAGGGAGGGCGAGGTGGCAGGGCAGTGTTGCCGCTAAATCGATGGAGACAAAGAAAGCGAGAATACGACCAGGGACCGGGGCCGCATGCATGCGACGTGGTCGTCGGGGCTGTTCATTCGTTCTGTCATTCATTTAATTTGTACACTAGTTCGTTCATTCATCTCTTCATTTACTCCCCTCTACGTGCTCCACCTCCCCCACTTCCCTGCCCCTCATTCCTGGCCGCCACGGCAAACTCAGTCCTGGAACCTTGCCTTGGACTCTCCGTCTATTCCATTGCTCCTCACCTTTGTCCGTATCTTCGTCATTGCCTCCTCCCCTCCCCTTCCATTCCTTTAGACCTCCCCTATTTTTGATGTCGCACCAGATTCGGGACCTGCAACCTGCCGAGAGCCTGCCAGCGTTGGACAATAGAAAAGTATCCAAAATGAGCAGTTAAAACCGCAGTGTGAGAATGCTTGTTAACAAGGGTGGAAACTGCGCCATGTGGCACCCTTGCAATTCTTCGTCCAGAGGCGGATCCTTCCACCGTGCCTTTGTCATGCCACCTTCGACTGTAGGCCTGTGTAACTTATAGTTGGTATGCTCATACAGCAGTAGCATCTTTGGTTCTTACTCATCTCCTCTTCCTTCTCCTGCCCTCCCCTTGGAACCTCGTCATGACCTGCTTTTTCTAAACCTAACGCTCTGACTAGCTTCCAGTTCTCCTTCGATCGCCACCATGGGTCGACAAGGATCCATGGCGCTTCTAGCCTTTACTCTGTTTGGCCTTTTAAGCTCTGTTAAGGCAGACTCCATTGGCTATGGGTACAACCTTGTCGGACTTGACGATCTTAACAATGGTGGTGGCGTTGTTGGGTATCTTGAGCTCGTTAAAGCTACTGAGACTTATGGCGCTGATGTCAAGAATCTTAAACTTGTAGCAAGGTAAGCTCACAATTGCACGCAGTTGTCATTACGTCGCTCTGCACTATGCGGTTTTTAAGCGTATTTATATACGTACCGCGTGCTTGGATTCTGTGGGATTTGGCTGGTACTGTGGGAATGGCGAACCGCGTCTGATTTCACGATGTGTTTGTTAGTCTTTCTAATGATTTCTAAATGAAATTGATTGTTTACTCTGGGATTTTTGACTGCCATTTTCGACAAGTATATTTAATTTCGTTGGTGAATGTTGCGTCCGATTTAGACTCGATTATAATTATCTCACATCTCTTATACATTGCTTTACACAGGAAAACAGGGAATAGTATTTTCCTGTCTACTTCCTTTCTGAGTGATGCATTAGTCAATTATCTATCTCTTCTAACATGCTCATGATCGCGTGGAAATGGCAGGTATCGAGGCAGTGACCGCCTTCAAGTACACATCTCTGATGCTGATTCAAAACGCTACGAAGTCCCCCAGGAGCTGCTTCCAAGGGACCCTGTGGATAGTTTTAAAGCTAACCGGAAGCTCTTTGGAAGATTAAAGGTAGAGAAATCAGGAGTGATCTCGAGCAAGAAAAATCAGTTGGAATTTCATTACGTCGCCGAACCCTTTGGGTTTGCAGTCGTCAGGCGTTCAAATGGCGAAGTGCTGTGGAATACCTCCGCTCCTGGCTCGGGACTGTTCAATAACATAATTTTCAAGGACCAGTACTTGGAGATTTCTTCCCAGTTGCCGTATAAGTCAGCGCTTTACGGACTAGGTGAGAGCTCTCGTCCGGATGGGCTTCGTCTCTCTCACAATCGCCAATATACAATGTGGGCGACAGACATAGGAAGCTGGAACATCGACATTGACTTGTATGGGGTTTTCCCCTTCCTCGTGGACGTGCGCGAAGGGGGACTTACTCACGGAGTCGCGATCATGAACAGTAATGGAATGGATATTGTCTACAATGATACTTCTATCACATTCAAGATCATTGGAGGAGTGTTCGACTTCTACTTCTTTTCCGGACCCGCCCCTATCGCGGTGGTGGACCAATACACTCAGTTGGTCGGTCGACCTGCGGCAATGCCTTACTGGGTGCTTGGTAAGTAAAAAAATCATTGTATCTTGCGAATGTCACTTACAAGCTGGCTTCAACTATTTGGTGCATAGTGCAGAACAAGCTTGTATTTCTATTTGATTTTGAGATCAGTTTCTTTCATCTAATGACATTGATTGTTTGCCGTGGCTATTGCCGCAGGTTTTCATCAATCTCGGTACGGATACAATAATGTGGAACAGCTTGATTACGTCATGAAGAAGTACGCCGAGGTGAACCTTCCTGTGGAATCTATGTGGTCCGACATTGACCACATGGACCACTACAAAGACTTCACTCTCGATCCCGTCAATTATCCCGTTGACAAATTACTGCCCTTTGTTCAGAACTTGCACAAGAACCATCAGAAGTTTATCATGATTCTGGACCCTGGTAATACCCTTTAATCCAATGAAAATCGTTCAAGATTTTAATTCGATGTAAAAATATATGATATTACACAGTTATCACTACATGATATTTTGACTGTTGAATTGTGTGTTCATGTTCGTCCATCTTTCAGGGATCAAGATCGATACCAACTACTCCACCTATGTTCGGGGTGACAAACTGGACATATTCATGAGGAATGGTACGAGCCACCGCTACGTTGCCCAGGTATGGCCAGGCGCCACAAACATACCCGACTTCCTCCATCCCAAATCGCAGGAGTTTTGGTCAACAGAGGTAGCCGAATTTCATAAAGTGATTCCATTTGATGGCTTGTGGCTTGACATGAACGAGCCTGCCAACTTCTGCGGTGGTCCTACTTGTTATTTCCCCCCCGGAATTCAGACTTGTCCTCAGATCGATGAGTGTTGCATGATATGTGATAACACAAATCTCAACCGGTGGGATGATCCTCCATACCACATTAACTCTCTTGGTATCCACCGGCCTTTGTACGCGCACACAATGGCGATGAACTGCGAGCATTTCAATGGTATCCGGGCTTACGATACCCACAACGTCTATGGAATGAGCGAGGGACTTGCGACATACCGAGCGCTTAAGGAGGTATCTATTTTCTGCACAATGCACTCTTGCAACCGCATAAATCAGGGCCGAAACTTTCGATCTCTGAATTTCTCTTAAGCGTGCTCTGTAATGGTGATGCGCAGTACAAGTTTGTGGTGAAATGTTTCAATTCTAATGTAATAATTTTTGTTTCACAGTTGACTGGAAAGCGCCCCTTTGTGCTTGCCCGATCTATGTTCCTCGGATCAGGCTCGTACGCTGCCCATTGGACCGGTGACAATGGTGCAACTTGGGGAGATCTTCAGTACTCCGTCGTGAGCATAATTAATTTGGGCCTGTTCGGAGTACCCATGGTCGGGGCAGATATTTGTGGATTTAACTTTCAGACCAATGAAGAGCTTTGCATCCGGTGGACTCAGGTGAGATCCGTGATAATTTCATCTATAGTTTTTTCGAAACGTAAGCGTGAAAGAAACTCAACTGATATATTACGTACTGTAGAATACAGGTTAAATTCGTGTAGTTTTATTTTTCAATGTTTTTATAAAGGATTTCGTTTCGTTTAACCTCGGAAATTTATGGCTCTCTCTGAATCCCCTTTCAGGTTGGAGCATTTTACCCATTTTCCAGGGATCACTCCGATATTCATGCAGGTCCTCAGGAATTCTACTTGTGGGAGTCGGTTACAGAGACTGCACGGTCGGTGTTTTCGTGGCGATACCGGCTTCTGCCTTTCCTGTATACGCTGATGTTCGGAGCACATAAGACAGGAGCGCCTATTTTTAGGCCTCTTTTCTTTGCTGTCCCTGAGGATTCTCGGACGTGGGATATTGCTGATCAGTTTACCCTCGGAACCGATTTATTGGTGTCTCCAGTGCTTCAGCAAGGCCAGGTCACTGTGAACGCATACTTCCCTCAGGGAGTGTGGTATAACTTGTTCAACCCTTCGCAAGTGGTGCGGGCGAATAATTCTTTTCATACTCTCGATGCTCCGCTTGACACCATTAATGCCCATGTCCGCAGTGGCTCCATCCTACCACTGCAAGATTTGGCACCAACCACGACGCAAGCCCGGAAAACTCCCTACACCCTCTTGATTGCAATGGATCCCGAATCGGACTCTTTCAATGCGCCATCAGCTATTTGTGACCGACGGAGCAAAGCGACGGGAGAGCTCTTCATTGACGACGATGACACAATTAGTATGCAGGTTAAGGATGGCGCGGGATCACTTGTGACTTTTGAAGCTACTCGTAAGGACGGTGTGTATGTGTTGAAAGCCGATGTCGAGGAAGGTGCTTATGCAGTGAAGCAAGGGTTGATGCTTCAAACGGTTTCCGTTCTTGGAGTGCGTACAGCTCCTAATTCTGTGAAGGTTAATGGCAAGTATGAGGCCGTTAATGTTACCTTTGACAACAAGGCATCATACTTAACCCTTACTGATCTCAATTTGCCCATCGGTAAAGATTTCGAGGTATCATGGGATTGTTCTGGAAGCGACGCATTTACAAGCTAGAATCGTTTTTTAAATCCTAGAATGTATATGTTCTCATTTAACACGGCGCCTCATCCTGTATTTCGATGCACCTCTTCTCGCTGGACAGTGATGCATAAGCACTCCTGGCTAGGAATTATGGTCCATGAATATAGAGAGATAGAACTGGAGTTCATAATGGTGGTGTTAGCATACAGAAACTATAGTAAAATTGGTTTTTGGGATTCACATCATTTCGGGGCTATCTGAAACTTGTGAAAGTTCCGTATACATTTTTGTCGAGTGTATTTATAATCTGAACCTGGTTCTTGAATTCAAGACCTGCCCCGATCTCCGAAAAAAGCTCTTTTTATTTCATGGTACAAATGGTTGAGGGTTTATTACCGATTCATTCTCGCGTTCTATTTGAATTGTTTAAAATTCCTATTAATATGGTTGATTTTTCATCAGTTCCCGAATCTCTGGTCATTTTCAACCCCCTGCAATTTCCACCAAAATTATATGAGCTCTGGATTATACTACATTTCGAGGGTGACAGCATGGTTAGATTGATTTCTTGTTAAGACCGAAGTAGAACTGTCGAAAAACTTTACGACAGTGGAGAAGAAATTAGCACTTATAAAGACGACCACTAAGTTTGCAAGTGCGGGAGTTGACGTTTTCAAGAGAAGAGTTGGTGGAGTAAATAGCAGGTCTCATGTCTGAGGAGAATAAGGCTAACTTGGCTCCCAGAAATTTAAGCAAGTCTTGCATAATGACTAGCTGCGCTTTGCGCTCATGCTCTGTTTCCTGCACATGCAGTATCGGTGGTTGGAATCTACATCCACATCAATGTGAATCTGCTATCTGCTGAGTTTAGTGTGGTTGAATAATAGTGGCATACCTTGAGCTTTTGTTGCTTTTTTTGCAAGTCATTTACAAGTTCCTCCTGCAGTTGAATTCTCGACTCGAGCTCCTCGCTCACAATATTATTCTTCGACTCAGATGCCACTGAAAGTCCTATGTGGTACCCCAATGTCGCAGTGAAATTGGACATTCTCATACTAAATCCACATTAAGCAACTTTGTCAAAATTCTTGCAAATGATTAATACTTATGGATAGTTTGTAAGTGGACTAAGTCAAGTGATTAGGGGTAGATTTATGGAAGTAAATAAACGTGAAGCTGACATTGGTCCAGGGTAGTCTCAAGTCGTTCCCTGTGAAGATTCAATTCTTGGAGCTGTTTGTAATCATCCTCATGTTTTTTGCTACTCTCGTTTACAGCAGATTCCAGCTCTGCCAATTTCCTGAAAGTTGCCTCACAGTAAGTAAATGCTCTACATATGTTGTTTGCAAGGCGCAAGTCTGATCGACAGCATGTGGAAGGAATCAGAGTTGGTGGATTTACACCGCTTGTTGGTGGAATAACCTTTTAGACACAGTTGACGTCTCGGTGAATTTCTCCTCTCGCTCTGCGTTCTTAGTCTCAATGTCTTGTAATGTTGTTCTCACTTCCTTGAGCTGTTTCAGAAGGGGAGCTACTTTTGCTCGTTGTTCTTGTAATTTCGTATCAAGTTCTGCGATTCGCTTCCATACATTTTTGCACATCTTTTCGTGTCCCTCGCTTGAATTGGTGGCAGAATCATCCACGGAAATCTCGTCTACACATCCAATCACAATCGGAGAATATCGAGATTCTTTACAGGGAGAATGGAAACGTAGTGCCAACAGTAATGTGCAATTTAAGCTGTGACTCTTAAATATATCATAAATCAGTAGTGGCACGCATGGACTAACTGATCGTGGGAATAGTGCATTCATCAAGGTCGCATCCACGACAACCTTGTTGCTCCAGCTGGCGTTGAGTGCACTGAATGAGTTCATACACAGCTGCGCTGCCATCTTCAAATGTACTAACATCAGCATCACCTGCAGCTTGTTGCTCCAGAAGCCGCTTAGTACGAACCAGAACCCCGTAATCAGTTGCCTTATCGTCCAATTCTTTCTTCAGAGCCTTGTAAGTGGCACTTTTCCCTCGCAGCAATTCCACATACTGTTTCAAATCTTCTCCTCGCCGCACAGACCCCTTCACCTGCGCACATTTATCAGCTTTGAAGAAATTCTTGGTCCAACCTATGAGAATTCATATAACTCACATGCCATGCTTCAACGCTTGACATAGATACCTCTTCGATGGAGTGAAACTTATGTTCAAGATCGGCAATGAGCATGTCGCGCTGTTTGGTGAGGTCGGCAAGCCTGTCGAATGCATCACGAATCTTATTGGCAACGATGGAGGTCATTCGCAGCTGTTGACGCTGCACCTCGTTGCCCTCGCCACAGCCACTGCCATCGTGGTCATGCACGTTGCGTCGCTTCAAACCCTTCAATTCATCGTTCACGAGTGCTAACTTTGCCTGCCGCATTGTATTCATTGCAACGCTTTCTTTTGAGGGACTTTAGACTATAGCACGAGTGGCCATTGCGAAGTTCACTTCGTACGATGCATATGTCACTCAATTGTACTAATTTTGTGACAGCGAGATCTTCACTCCATTTTCCCACAAATATTTCTATAAAGTCACGAAAATAAATGAAATCATGTGCAGATGAGAAATGATCCAAGGGAAATCGATCATAGCTGTCTCAAAATAGAAGTAAAGCATGAGTGCAAGAGGTGATGATCCAAAGGGGACTGAATGACAGGCCCTGGGCACCTGAATGGGGGAGAGGGCAGGATCCATGGGGTCAGTGTTGCCCAATACTTGTTGCAATGCTTGCAAGTGAAGTCTTGATTTTTCCATCTCCTGCTACCCACACAGATCACCATTCTGTCAGTTGTCAGGGACACTTCCCAACATCCCCAGTCCACGCTTGGCTTGCCAATGCACATCTTCAGGAGTAGTCACCACCACCACCACCACTGCCACACGTTCATGACACTGAGCTTTGTAATTGTGTAACTATGGCACACATTCCCTCAAATGGATTCCCAAAAGTATGCACCTTGGGCAGTTTATCTTCAGCCTGGTAATGCAGCAATGAGCATGCTTGTGCCATCTTCTGCAACATTGCAGACATGCTTTCACTTCCTGCTAATTCTTGAACCTCATGCAGCTTTGACACCACTTTGGAATGGTTGACTAACACATGTCTCCACACACAAATTATCACAATTGGCATCTGTGACAAGTTTTCTTTCATACCCTTCACATCCTGCATTTTGAAGCCCTTTGGCAAACTGACAAATTGTTTCTTTCTCTGTTAAGCTCATTTATGAGCTCAACAACCAAGCACACTTCAATTAAAGTCATGAAAGGGAACTGTCAAATATCTTCTAAAGTTTAGGTTTGTGATCAAGACAAAGCTTTTAAGCTATATTCGTGCAAGATAGCATGAGGGTTTTCCATTCAAACATACATGTTTGAGCAAGTATATGTTCTTGGTCTTGTAATTGATTAACTAAAAATAGATATTGACTTTTTTCATCACGTAATGTTTGTATTGCATCCAAATATTCGTTTAATTTTTCCACATGCTAAACCATCACACTTTCTATTGTGATGTTATTCATGAAAAAATTTCAAGTTAAAATAAATAAGCAATTGAATAAATGATACATGAATGCAAGATTAAAATTTTACACATATTACATAGGTAGATCATAAGATTATTTTTTAAAAAAATATTCCATTTAATTGAATAATTTTGATTTTACTCTATTTTTCTCACCTGTAGTTCAGTTTTGAATTTTTGAATTTGTTCATCTAAATGATTTCTTTCAACTTCAAGGCCTTGCACATTTCTTTTCAAAGTTGATGAGTTCTTTTCTTTTTTGTGTATACTTTGTAGGTGCTTATGAGTAGTTTTGAAATACTCTCTTAACATGTCAAATTGTGTATTCAGCATATTCACATCATCTTCTAATATCAACTCTGGTGGTATATCAATGTCAATTAAAAATGGTGCCAAATATGCACGTTTCTTCAACATTTCTACCTAATACATCACAATGAGCAGAGGCATATTTATAATTTATACATTTATTTAATATATACATATATATATATATTGAGTGAAGTTGAACTGTTTTTCAACATACCAATTAACACCTTTATAAATTTTCATTCAATCATTGTAATATATATATAAATACATATAATAAATAATGATCAAATAATGACCTGAGGAAGTAACCACATGAGAAGTGGATAAATTGTATTTGTATTTCCATCTACAAGACCTTGTTGAAATACCAAGCTGAAACACACAAAAGATTTGATCATGCTCAAACATTATAATTAAATGGATAAAAAATGAATAAAAACGAAGGATAAATAAGGTACTTATTACAAGGCACCTATCATTTTTGGGACGATAATTGAGCATTCTCAGAACATCCAACATCCACGCTATCTTTTCTTCATTTGAATCCAAATTCTGTAAAAATAATAATAAATAAATAAACGGATTTAATTGTATTAATCGAAACATAGTAATGATGTCATACAATTCAAATATCATTGGAAACTTCATCTTGGAATATATTTGGTGTAGATATGTATTAAGGTTTGAAAGCTCAATTGTTTGACTATATATATATATATATACACACACCACTAATACTTTAAATTCATCTTTCAAACAATATTGGGGGGAGGGGGGGTAGAAGATACAAACCTGGCTATTTTTAGGGTGAATAATTGATAACACGTATAGGACCAACTTTTGTAATTGCAACGAATTACTCTGACTGCATATGGTTTTATATTTGTGTCATGCAGTTTCTTAATAAAAATCTAATTCAGCGGATTTCTTTTTTCTTTTTTTGAAGTTCTCGATTATTTTGTAATTAAGCTCAAACTGAGTTTATATGTAAAATAACTTATAATGCAAACATTTTAACCTTTTTACTCAAATTTTACAAACTGTATTTTTTCTTTAAATAATCATGACAAAGTGTGAGAAGATTTTGGTGTCATAAAAAATTATATTTTATTTTAAGATTATCATATAGTCATGTTTTTAATTATTATCATGGTACAGATATAATAAAATTACAATTTTAAACTTGTGATAAATTTAGTATAGTACAGTTATTAGTGTTCTACAGTTATATACAAACACTACAACTTATTAGATTGAAAATTTATCGAAAACCTTAGTGATGTTTATCACAAACCTAAATTCTAAAAATGAAATAGAATAATTGAAAGGTGCTTTGTTGAGCATGTAAACAATATCTTCTATTCTTGCCATACTTATAATGTTGTTTTTGTCTAATTCACAAAGTCTTGAAAAGACAGAAGAATTTCGAAAATTATCATGTATCACCAAAGAATTTGCAAGTACCTGTAGGTATAATGAAAAATCAAACAGGAATTAGTATGCATAAAAAAAAGCTCTACTATATAAGAATATTGAATTATTGTACAAAATACACTATTACATATATAATTGTAAAAATTATCTCATGTAATGAATATCAATTGTCTTTGTGGATAATTCTGATAGCAAAAAGAGAATTCAGAGTTACTTGATAACCTCTTGTGGCACTCGTTAATTTTGGCCGAAATATATATATATATATATATATATATATATATGGTCTATTTTACGTGATTTCTTGTTTTTATTCCATGGAATTTTCAATCCACAAAATAATAATAATAATAATAATAATAATAATGCCATAGAAAAATTTCATCACATTTTTAAAACGATATTTGACACAGATTACTTATCAAATGTATTTAGTGTCAATTTTGCATACACATTAATGTTTTGTGTATAATAATGAAAGAAAGATTGAATTTATTTTGTAATTTATTCACCAAAAAAAGAAAGACAACGGTTTTTAGTCTGAGGTTGAAAGTTTCTTATTCATTAATACATAGATTTTTTCATATTAATCACTATAAAAATAATTTCCTATTAATAATATCTGTAATAAAATTTTAAAATTAAATTATTAGAAAATTCATAATAATTAAAATTTTATTTAAAGACATCTTTGGGACTCATTACTCATTTTATAGATATAGATTCAGTATATAATGTTTAAATATTAATAATATTGCTAAATATAACGGCAACTTCCAACATTATTTTGTAGTAGCTATAAAACTTATAAAGTCTGTGATTAAATCTTATCAGACAAGCATTGTGAACTTCTTATTGTAAACACAGTTGTTATTATAAAATTGAGTTTTCTAAATTTTTTGTGATACTGAATAAAATGAAGATCCGACACTCCCCAAGTCAGCAAGAGCAAATGACCTACATAAACTTTTCCACTTGACCAAATCACCAAATCACCAAATCCAGGAAATGGCCATTTTCTGCAACATTATTTGATGATGAGCTCACCAGATGCACAGATGATGAATGATTTGGCACATGAATAGAGTTTGCAGTGAAGATGAGGAGGAATGGGAAGAGCGGCAGTGTTGTGGTTGGGAGGCAGGCAGGCAAGGCCACATGGACGTTGGTTAGGTGCAGAGCATAAGTGAGTGGCAAATCCCATTTCATGATATATGTACGCACACACACACACACACATATATATATATACATATATATAATATCTATATAATATCTATATATGTCAATTGTTATTTTGCAAAGAACTGCACTTCTTTTTTTAGTTATTCAAATTGAATTTTTCATGTTTATATACATTCTAGTTCATTTTACAAATTTGTGATAATATAATTTGTCTTTGTACAATCTATTTCAAAGCATGTATAGATCCACAACTTATTAAAGCATACAGTTTCCAGAAATGCTGCATAATTGTAATATAAGAACACAAATTATATTCTATATTATATATGTATATATATTGATTTTTTAATTTTTTTTGTTGAATTGTTGTTGTTGTTATTATTTTATTTATCTTCAAGTAAAATATTTTTCAAAGACTCAAGTTGAATAAATGCATGTCAATAATAGAAAAGATGTGGGATACAGATAAAGTTGTTTTGAGTGCATATTTTTATTCAACTTGAAACTTTTTTATTTTCAGTTTATTGTAATGGTTTATATCATGTATTGGGTACCTCTACTCAGAATATATTTTATAGCATATATTTAGTGTACTACTGTTCTTTAATCATTTTAAAATTTAATAATATATCATATTTTTAATTATTCCAGATATACATATTGTTAAACTTTTTAAAAATTATTATATAGTGAATCCTTCTTTAAATTATTTCAAGAAATGAAAAACTCTGCAAAAGTTCCAACTATATACTTAATCCTTTGAAATATGTTTATTTTAAATATCTAATAATTTAAACGCTGTTACAAAAACAGAAGAATGATCTTTCTTTTTTATAGCACTAAGAGTTTATTTAAATATGTCCATGACATTATTGGATTGTGTTTGTTGCATAAATTTCAATCAATCATGAAAAAAAATGATAACACTTCACTTCTTTATTGCATAGAATCAATATTTCATATTGTAATAAATATTTTTATTATATAATAAAATATATAATAATAAATTGAAAAAATGACCATTTAATCTTTAGTACCATACTTAATTTAAATTTTATAACATATGACAATTAAGTTCATATCATGTTTGTAAAAAATTTCAACCAACTTATATTTTATAAAATAAATTGGATATTTTTTTGGATGTGAGAAAATTTTGAATACTATGATATGTTAAAGCATTATAAAAATGAGTATAATAGTTGATATAATTTCATAAAGCCTTGTATAAAATGCCAAACCAAATTTTAAAAACTATAATAAAATATATACTCTTAAGAATTTCTAAGATAATAGTACCAAATATGTTTTTATTATTATATAAAATAGTAAAAAATAATAAAAATTTATTTAAAAGAAAAATTAGCCTTATTTTTTAGATAACACCTAAATCACATTTCAAAATGAAATTAATTCTAAAAACATACATCTTTATATGTATGTATGGTGATTAAATTATATAATAATAATGGTTATTAAACCTATGAATAATTTTATAGTTGTAAGTCATTGATTTTTACCTTATATGAATAAATTTAAATTATTTTATGTATTATAATTATACACTTTATTTCTTGCTTAAAAAAATATTACTTATTTATAAAAAAATACACAAAGTAAAGATTCTATTTATTACCCATGATCAATCTCATACCATTATATGTTATAAAATTCAAAAAATATGTTGAGATTAAAAGTATTTAAGATTCAGCTTGTAAGACCAAAGAAAATTGGTTTTAAACTATCAAACAAGAAAAAAATCTTGAAGAAATTTCAAAAGAATATATAAGGAAGCATATTAGGAAGTTTCTTTCTAAAAAAATATAGAGTTTGGATAGTATTGGTACTATATATATGCTATTTTGAACGTATGACAAGCAAATTTCTTAATATCAACTACTTCTTATTTCTTTGGAAGCTCTTGAAATAAAATATGTATTGTTTGAGAAAAATATGTTGTAAATAGTTTCTAGAAGATGTAGATGTTATAAAGATCTAGTATAAAAATTTATAAAAGGATATTTTTAGATATATATATATATATATATATATATATATATTAGATAAGTTTTGATTTTAAATTTTGATTGATTGAAAATTGCAAGGATTATATTAAATAATATATATAAAATAAATATATTAATTAGACAGGTTGGAAAGATGAAGGAGCCTAAGAATAGTTTAAGATATTGAAAGAATATTGGATGGTTTATTCCTTGTAATATATTATATGATTGTAAGTAGAAGACATAGTCATAGAATTATTTGGTCAAAGATAATATTATCAATTGAAGTGAATGATATTATCAAGGAATCATGAACATGTAGGAAAAAAATTATTTAAGTTTATTGTAGGTCCTCTATGTAAAACTTCTTCATAAGACTCTAATTAAGTATTATTGTGCAATGTATGTAATTGATATAAGTTCTTCAACTTTTGGAATTTATTTCTTTTCTTTTAATTTTTAGTCATTAGACCAAATTTAATATCTTTATATGAATAAGATCTATATTTGAAACAGAGTATTTGAAATATTTTTTTTGTCAAATCTTTGATCAATCAATACCATCTTAGTTAGTTCTACCATGAAGTTATAGACTTATTTTTTTAATATTTGGATTGGAGTATATGGCTTAAGAATATTATATAATATTCTTTCTTGAAAAAATAATGGTCTTTTACACTTATTCATTTTGTTGTGCAATGTCTTATCAATCAAGGATACAATAAAATCTTCTATTATAAAAATTGATTCTTATAATTTAGAAGGCTAACTTATTATAGTAACAATGTTGGAGTGTGTTAAAATAAATAAATAAATATGAAAGTGGAATAAGTTATATTATAGATGATATTATAAGTTTAGATAACTTTAGATAAGTTGCTATTGGTCAAAGTATTGGCTCTTGATATATAAGAAGGCCAAGAGATAAAATAGATGAATAGACAAAGAATCTTAAGGATATAAAGATTATACTAAAAGTATATTTTTATAATAGATAAGATAGCTATAGATAGTTTTAGTAGATTTTTAGATGAATGTAGTCATCAAAAGATGAAATATATCCATTAAAGCAGTAACCACCACCTATAAGTAATGGATGTTAGAAGTGAGAGATATCTTATTTTATACTCTCTTTGTGAGCAACCATGTTGAAGCTATATGTTGATGATTTCAAAGTTCTTTTTCTTCAATAGGTTTTATTCTCACAACAATCTCAACTATAATGGAGCCCATTGCAATGGCTTGTACTATGCAATTGTCTTCCATAAAATTTCTTCATAAGTGTCAATTAAATACTTGTATAGAGTCATGTGTTTGGTGGCACTTGAATCAATAATTGCCATGAATATAAAATCATATCTTCGAAATTACTCATGTATATTGTTGGCTTTTTTTCTATCTCTGTTATTTATTTTGTAGCAATTTTGTGCAAAGTGACTTGATTTTCTACAAATGAAGCATGTTCTCACATTACCACATTGATTAGAATAGTTCTTTTTGCCTTATCTTGAAAAGAGAGCCAAATCTTCACTTTGAAGTTCTTTCTCTATCCTCTTGACTACTTCATAGGCAAGTGAAGATTAGTTAGGACATTCTAAGATAAGCTAAGATATTCTAAGATTCAAAAGTATATACTAACATTGTAATAGATATGCTAAGATTTTAATAAATAACCTAAAATCAAATAATCATGAACAAGCTAAAGAAAATAAAAGAAATGCTTAAAGTATAAGATTTGAAGTGATGTTAAATGTCAATCTTTTTGGTCCTTGAATGATGCTTTGGATTCTTTGCAAATGCAAAACATCCTTGATTGTCATACTTCATTAAAGTTGATTCTATTTATACTTCTCCAATATCCTCGTATAGTTGTGTTAGCCATATTGCTTCTATTGTACTATAGCTTTATTAAAGAAAAAAAACTTCAAAGTCACCAACATATAGCATCAGCAAGGTTATTTGTAAAAAAAATATAAAATAAGATATCTCTTACTTTGAACATCCATAATTTAAAAGCGCTCATTTTTTCCGTATTGGAAAATTTCCATCTTTAAATGAATACATTCATCCAATATTCTATTGAGACTATTCATTGCTATCTTATTTATTAAAAAAATATACTTTTAGCATATTTTATATATTCTTAAGATCATTTGTCCATTATCATAATGTAGCATGACTAATAAGTAAAAAAGATGAAGAAATTATTATATTATAGAAGATCTTATTTCAAATATTATAGCAAATTATCTTAGAAAATAGATAATAATCAAAAAGAAAGTAAAATTAAAGGTGTAAATGCTGCCTTTTTACAAAGTAGGCTTCTATTTACTTTGTAAGGCCAAAAATAAGACAAAACAATATAGATTAGAAAAATAAAGAATATGATCATATGAAAAAAGAAGTTAGAAATTTCTTTTGAAAAAACTTAATTTAAAAAGATAAAAATTTAATACTCGAAGAGAATTGGTTATCAACTTGGATTTAAATTAGACCCCAAGGTTTCTTTTGGAATAAGTAAAATAAGCAATCACATTTTGGTGCCACAGCCAAGGAGTGATAATAGCTTTGAGTGTAAGGAATTAATTATCAAACGTGTGAGAAAATTGGCAATGGAAGACGATTTTAGTAGTGTTTGAAGCAAGATTATGGTTAATAAGAACGAGAGCATTGTATCGAGGAAAATAAATCAATTGAGAGAAAGACAGGAAAGAACACTGTCATGTTGTGACACAACTATATAGTAAAAATATGACAAAAAAATGATATTTTAATTAATATTCTATTATCATGGTTCAACAAGCATTCAATATATTTTACAAGGCTTTTATAAAAGCCTCTAATCCTATTTTCTTCACTTAATAGCTAGTAGATAAAAATTAGTTAGTAATTTTACCTTCTAGGCTGTAGTAACCTTTTTATTGCCTTAGAAAGGCCATAAAATGGTAAAAAAAAAGGATAAAAAGGATAATTTATTAGCATGGTTGATACTAGGGTTAAGTTGAGGGTAGGATCGGGCTATAAAACCACTAGGATA